CGGCTTGTTTTACAACGTCGTTGCCAAGCGACGAAAACCCAACCCCGGTGGCAAACATCGGAGAGGGGGTTGGGGGGGGTGGGGGGTCGGTGCTTCTAGCTTTGTTGTACAAGGCATACCCCTCGTCGCGTGTCATCGGGGTGCCCGCCGCGGTGCGTGCCAAGCACGAGAGCCATGTCTATACCCCTTGAAATAGTGAAAGAGCTCTGCCAGCTGTCAAAGTTGAATTGGAGGTGTAAATCTTGATCGACACTTGGAGGCCATCAGGGAACATGTCATTGCTGGCAACCGCCCACGAAGTCAGACTGGGAGGCCATCGAGTCGACGCGGGGGCGACGAAAGCTTTCCGACACCTCTTCCTTCGTCGCACCCACGGAATTCTCGAATCCAAGCATCTAAACCCGCTGCTCTTCACAGTTCGTTCTTGTATGTGGAGTACTCGTAAAACTGCGCATGGGCTGATTCGGTGAGCTGATCACTCGGCCGTGTCAGAAGCGTACCCGCCACTTTTGCGACTACCGTGTGCATTTCGAACTACATGTGCAGTAGACCAAAGTACGCGCCGCATGATGCCGTTGGACAAGCACAGTGGAGATGCGGGTTCGGTGGTAGGGTCGTGGGCTTTGCTTGAGGGAGGGGAGCGCGCCGTCGAGCAGGGATGGATGAGGTCCGGCATTCGAAGAGCAGGGTGAAGGTCGCAATGTGGCCACGACGGGCGTTAGTAGATAGAGCGGGGAGGACAATCACGCCGAGCGTGACCCTTGTGGACCTCTAAATGGTTCAACGTGTTTGCTCAGGTGCGACATTATTTTAGGCGATACCACGTCTGTTTCACTCGATTCCAGAGGTCTATGTTGGGCGAGGTTCTATGATTGTACTCTGTTTTATGCATATTATCACGCTTCTCTCAAGTGTCGGGCTGAATCCACCCAGAACCAAAAAAAGGCCGTCTGAATGGGGCCCTCGGCGTAGAAATATGAACAAGAACCCCGTATATCATACGGATGTGCCTGCTCGAAATAAGAACTTTGAAATAGAACAGTTGCTCAATTTATGTCAGTCAATACGCATCGAGCCTTTGCCAATGTAAGCGGTTCTTAAGTGCGGGCGCCATCTACACACGACATGTAACATTGTAACCATGATAAAAATAACAAAAAGGTCAGGACGCACGATGCACATCACAGACAAACAACGCCTCCCTTGTCTTACTTCTCAAGAACGGCACTCAAGCAATGATGATCCTCTCCATCCCGCTCACGCTGGCAATCTTTGCATATATGTGCTCTTCGAATGGCAAAAAAATACCATGCACCGTATGATGTTCTTTGCCGTCCACACGCAATACTTGGTTGCGCCCTCCCCCTTGCCGGACTAAATATCAACTATCCGTTCCAGTGTACGTGCGTGCCTACCGGTTGGTTATATTGACATAAAAAACACACACAGTAGTAAACCACCGCATCGCGGTATTGGGCTGGAAACTGACGAAAATACACCGACTATAGGCAACCTACGGCTGGGACATAGTCAGCCGCCACACAAAAGCGCCACGCCCGAGAGTATTCCCAACAAGTTGGCGACCCCGCGCGGAAGCTCAACTTCATGAAATAGGAATGAGTGCTTAAACCACTCAGCCATCACTTCATGTCGTCGACGAATAGGCCCGAGATCGGCAACATCGAAGTGCACGTCTTCGAGCAGGGTCTTTTCACGTTGAGGTTGCTCTTCTCGTCCGCAAATGTGGAGAAGAAGCGCATGATGTCGGGTTTTCCATACTCCGTGAGGATGTCGGAGGCATGGCGACGAGGGCGCCATGACCTGGCGTGCAGCATGTTGTCAAGAATTGTAGCCGAACGCAATAGAGGGAAGGGCAAACCACGGGTACGTAGATGAGGTGATGAGCTTAAGAAACATGCGTATTCCGTTCAATGCGTATCTTCCGACGTACGTCCAGGATGCAGAAGATAATTTCTATGCTGCGGAGGAGGTGAAGCAGGGTGTAGATTGCCGAAAGCTATTTTGCATTCGCCCCGGGGGGCTGGGCAATTTTTGATGCCGACAAAGAGAGGTTGCTCATTTTTGCGGGTCAAGAACACCGGGAGGGTATTTCAACGTGTTTTACCACTTGTTCGGCCGAATGGGCAGGGCACCTGAGAAGGTAGTGTTGAAACGGCAATGTTACTTTAGTTGTAGATGCTGAGGCATTCTTTGACTTCTGCTCGCTGGTTTTACCAACACCTCAGTTGGTTTTCTGTCTCCGGTCCCAGGTCACGCGGTAAAATCATCAGTAGCCTTCACTTCCGACGCAAGTATCAATCGGGAAAAGCACCCCCTTCCCAATGCTAATACACAGGTGCGTCTTGTAGCGTTGGGGGAAAAGCGATGGGTCGGAATTCGGGAGAAAATAAATGCA